GGCCGTCCAGAAGCCGGTGACTGATCTGTCTTGCCCGGGAAGAGTGCAATGATGGGGCCAACTTGGGCCAGTGAAGCAACGTCCTCCACAACTAGACTGAAGAACAAAACTACAGCAACTTGCCTGTTCCCCTTCCCCCAATTCCCCAGCACTGTTCCCCTCCCCCAATTCCCCAATAAAAATCTTAAAAAACAAAACAAAACAAAACACAACAAGAGTAAAACGCTTTCCTCTTATTCCCAGATAAGGAAAACTAAATGTTCAGTAACCTGCCCAAGCTCACAGACCTGGAAGTGGGGGGTCAGTTTGCATACCCCCCCCAAAGCCCACCCAAATGAGATGTCATGGCTGTAGAGGCCAAAGCAGCTCTCTCTCCAGCCACCGCTCTGGTTCCAGTGGCTGAACTCAGGCAAGGGAATAGTTTGCCAAGCATGTCCAGGCCAGCTCTGCCATCTCTGGGCACTCTTGGGACAGTAAGAAAAGCTGGAGGTTTTTAAGTGAGAAAGGAACCTCCTGGGTCCGCAGGAGCCAGCTGAGCTGCTGAAATTGTCTTGACTGACTTGCCTGTCAGGATAAATGTATATGGATGAAGGGGCTGTTTCCAGGGAGGCCATGATGGCAGACTGGTGTAGCAGGCAAAGGGTGGGGCGGAAACGCCAATATCACACACCCAGTACAGAGAGGACACCTCATAAATCTCACAGGCTCAGCCCATGGTGGCTCACAATGCTGCCTGGACCTCATGTCCAGGTGGAAAGCGACAAGTTATATGGCCAGCCGCCTTGCAAAGCCACTTTGTTAGAATGGCACAGTTCTTTCCTCCACCACTCATAAAATCTCTGTTTATGCCAAGACCCAGAACAGCTCAGGCTAAGGGGGTTTTCCTCCTGAAACATCAGATACGTAACTACCTCCAGATCACAGACCTTCGGCCATCAGCTCTCTTCCTCCCCTCTCTGCTCCCAAAGATTCTCCCAGAGAACAAGTCCATTTGTCTTTGAGACTTCCAAGTACTCGGGGTCAAGTCAGAATTTTCAGACTTGCATGCATCTACTGCCTGTTGTTTGTGTATCTGCCCAAACCAATGTTGGCTTTAGTCATCCTCTCTCTTAAAATCCCTCTTGCAAATGGGACAGACTGAGCCACTTACTTATCTGTCACAGCCTGCATGAACTCATCCAGCAGGTCATCGTACTCTTTCCCACGCACACGCTGGTGTTTCAGGCCGATGTACAGAGGGTCTCTGAGCAGCTCCTGGAACAGACAACGTCCATTTTCTCAAGTGTCTTAGCTTGTCAGGAGAGACCAGAGGGGAGGAGGGGAAGAGGGAGGAGGAAGCTGGCCGTCCCCACCCTCCCTTACCCCCAAGGCGTCACTGTGGAAGGGTCTGAAGGCTAAGTTCCTGACTGAGGGTGGACTCCAAGGTGGTCTCCATTTTAGGAACCAAGGATGCTTTGAACAGGCAAGCCTCTTTCAGGCACAGTCTTCCAACCTCTGGCTGCAGCTCTGGGTTTATTTCAGGGATTCTCAGCAGTGACACTGTTGATATTTTGGCTTCGATAATTC